GTCAAATTTCCTTCGCGAAATCAAAATAATCATGAATGCATAATCTCTCTGGCAAGGGAAAATTTATTAAAAAATTACGAATCACGTTGTAAATACCAAAAGAAAAATTTGCCATACGACTTCGAGGTCGGCGACCTCGTGCTTTTGCGTGTGCCCCATTTGCCGAATGCTCAAGATCGAGTTGTTCATAAATTTTTCCATTTGTATGAAGGACCATATAGGATCCACAAAATTGTTGGGAAGAATGCTTTTGTCCTTGAATCGGGGGATGGGAAAAGTTTATTAAAGGGGATATACAATCGCATAAGTTTGCGGAAATATTATTCAAAGTTGCCTGTTGGATCGGGGGTGTCTGTGGCCGGTGTATGGGGGTCAAATCATGATGAATTTAGAATGTGACCATCTCCTTTGCTCGCTTCTTCTGGCTGTCAATGCTGAAGAGTTAAAAAAAAAAGAAAAAAAAATGGAATATTGAATTAGAAGATATAGCAGGAGGAAATTTAATGTACGAATATAGCTGACTAGTCAATAAACGTTCGTTACTGTGAGAGAAGAGTTAGGGACTGATATATTAGTCCCTATTCCATTAGTAGATGTAAATGGAATCTCGTGATTGCGACGTTAAGATTTGAGGAAATATTAATATTTGTAAATTTGGGAAATAATGATTTTGAGTAATTTTACGTGTATGTTTACGAATTGTGTTGGATGGAAGGATGATTTTTATTTGTTGATCTTCGTCCGAGTGGTTAGTTACACGGAATGTAACGCATATGACGAATGTGAGTGATTTCACATAATGTGAGGTGTTCATTTGTCCTCGGATGTTCCACCCTTGAACAAATAAGGGGGATAGTTGTGAGGAATTGAGGGGTTCAATATTCGCGCCCTGAAATAGATCTCCAGTTGACTTGAGTGGTCACAAATAATATTAATACGCGCATCAAAATATTGTGCTGACAGCAAGGAGTCGTCCGCGCGATCTACCTTCTTCTGCCTCCAGCCCCGGACGTGTGTACATCACCACGCTGTCACGTATCGATCCGTCTCTAGGGTTCGGGTTGACGGTTGCACTCATCGACGCAGATCTCTCCTGACCAAGGGCACCTATAATTCCAAGTGTTTTGGATTTAGCAGGCCACTAGATCCCACGGTGACGATTGGAGGTGACCGGATGATGGAGATCTTCATCCTGACACAGATGAGGGCACGAAATTTTCTCCTCTGGATCGAAGGATCACAGTGACGCGGGAGGCGCGTCGGAGCATCGTTGGATTATACGCCAACGCTGGGCGTTGGTGGAAGCCGCGGGTAGTTACTGACAAATTTACAGAGCTAATTCATTTACGGAGGAATCGCAGATAAGTCTTTGCACATTTATTGGGAGCAGTATTGGGAGAA